GAAGGGGGAAGGGGGAGGGGGTCGTGTCACGAGATGGGGCAAGACGGCGACATGGCGACATGGCGACATGGCGACATGGCGACATGGCGACACGGGGAGGAGAGGGGGGGGGGGGAGGGGGTATGGTGACAGGGGAGAAGGGGGAGGTTATGGCTAGGGAGGGGGATACTCATGTGTGTGGAGGAATGAGTGTAGGGTGTTTACGAATGATGGGTCGTTGTTGGCATCGGCAGGGAGCCCGAGGGAGTCCAAGCTGGTGGCGGCCATTGCGGCCAACATCTGGGAGGCGTACGAGAACAATGGGCCGAGGCAGGATGCGTTGGGTATGCTCATCACTCAGTGTCTGGAGGGTTACGTCCTTACTGCTCGCATCAATCCCGATCTTCTTCTCTGCCTCTATTGCAAGAACGACGTCGATGTTGGCGTTCTCAAGGCAAAGGGCGATGTCATGGTCGACTACCTCGTCGATCCGCTCTCCACCATTGTCGTCGGCGCAGAGTCGGCCCAGTAGTCGCCAGCCTGCAGCATCTGTCCTCTGTGCTCAATCGACCTTCTCTCCCCCCCATCCCCCCCTCTCTCCCCGCATCGTCTTGCTCGTTGCGGACTCTGCAAGTGCATGCCTCTTTCCTCCCGCCCGCTCCACCTGCGGCGCATCGCGCTGGATGCGTCTCGGGCCATGGACCATGCGTGCCCACCCCACGCCCTGCTGTCGCTGAGTAAAGCCATCCCACCCCTCTGATGATGTTGCGTGCAAGGACTTGGAGTGTGTTTCATTGCTCTCAGTGCTGCCACCACATGAGCGGGACGGCCGGGCCATGGGCATCGGACCTAGCCGCACGCTTCTGTGCGTCGGCAGTGTCACGCATGCGGGTGTAGTCACGACCATCGATGCGCGACTGGAGCTTTTCGATCTGGATGAGCATGCGGTCCTGCTCGCGACGGGCGTGAGAGATGCGGTCCAGGAGCCAGGCTTCGCACTCGACGGCAGCGCTGAGTTCGCGCTCGAGATCGGCGCGGACATGGGAGATGGTGGTGTGCTCGTCGCGGAGAGTGATAATGTGCTCGCGCTCGAGGCAGATGTGGTCGTACAGGTCATGGAGATCAGCACGGAGCTCATTGACCTCCTCGCACCGCTCGTGCAGCTCGGCAAAGCCGTTGGCGCGGACGTGGGCCACGTAGTCGGGAAAGTAGGCCTCGAGGGCGCTCAGCTCGTCATCAAACGAGTTGAGGACGGCAGCGGAGGTGAGCGAAGTGTCGAGCTTGTCAAGAAGGGCGGCAAGGTGGGTGTCGGCCTCTTTGGCCAAAGCGTCGGCCTCGACAATGAGCGCCGAGTGCTCGCGGGTGAGTGACGGCGACTTCGGGATGTGATGGCCGAGCGAGGCGAGGTGGAGAGCAGCAAAGTTGGAGGCGCCGGTCGAGCTCGCCGAGGAGCTCGAGTGGGAGTCTGAGCAAGACGAGCCGTCGCTTGACGAGGCCGCCGTCGAGACCGACGGCACTTCGAGGAGACTCTGGGCCGACAAGAGACGGCTCACCTTGCCGGTCTTGACAAACTGCGGGTCCGGGTGGATGGGCGAGACGGCGGCACCGACCAGATACAGTGCGCGCTGGGTCGCGCGCGCCAGCACGTACTCGAGCACGCCAAAGCGGTCACCCGAGTCGATGAGGGTAATAGCCTGGAGCGAGACCAGCGGGTTGCCATACAGCATGAGACTCTTGAGCGAGGTGAGGACCGCCAGTTCGGCAGGCAGCTCGGCAAAGCAGCAGTGCGAGAGGTCGAGCTCTTGGAGGTCGAGGCGTACAAACGAGGCCGGGAGCGTGGTGAGCTTGTTGCCACAGGCGCGGAGCGTCCGCAGCAGCGGCAGCTTGCCTAGCGACGCCGGCAGCTCCTCGATGACGTTGCCTGAGAGGTCGAGGACTTCAAGCTGCTTGCACAGGCCGAGCTCACGAGGGAGGTCAGCAAGCGTGTTGTGTGAGATGTTGAACTCGCGGAGGTTGGCGATGCGGGCGATGGTGGGCGGGAGGTGCGAGATGGAGTTGTATGAGAGGTCGAGCTTGGAGAGGAAGAACATCAGGTCAAAGACGACCGGCTCCAACAGGCCCAGCCGCATGCGGGTGAGCTCGAGCGAGACCTGGATCCGCAGCGCGTCCTCAAAGGTGTCGTCGTCGACGGTGGCCGACGAGTAGTGGACCGAGCCGCGGCGCGAGCCGGTGGCGCCGGTCACGCTTCCGCGGCGGAGCGAGGAGAGGACCGAGGATCCAGCGCCGGTAGGGTCGCGCATGAGAGCGCGGGCACGCTCACGGCGCTCACGCTTGCGAGCGTCCGGCGAGCGGGCGCGCTCCTTCTTGCGAGCCACCAGGGGTGCGGTGAGCAGGCCCTCGACAGCGTTGACCACCATGTTGGTCTCGCGGAGTCGCTCGGTCGTCGGAATCTCTTGCAGCGACGCCAGCGTCTTCCACACCTGCGCCCGCACCTCGCCACCGACATGCTCGACGACCGTGGCCGATGGTGCCGAGGGGGCGACGCTCGACCGCCGCCGTGCAAACCGCCGGTCGAGCGGCTTGGCGCTCCCCTTGCGCGGCGACCGCGACTGCCGCGTCGACGCCCGGTCGACCAGCGCCACGAGGTAGGCGAGCTCGCGGACCCGGGCTGAGAGGGCGAGCCCGGTCTCGACGTCCGATGACGACGAGAGTGCCCAGTGCTTGCCGAGGACCCGCGACTTGGTGTCCTCACCCACCTCGCGATGCGCCATGACAGCCTCGACTGCGTGTTGGGCATCAGAGTGCTCCAGCAAAGCTTCGATGGAGGCCGACAGCAGCCGCTCGCGCAGGGCCGGGTCGGCCCACTCGTCGACGGCCAGCGGCCCGTGCTCGCCGGGGTCTTGCTGCGGGCGGACTTGCGGCTCCGACCGTGGGTCCGACGGACGGACGAGGTAGCGGAGCGAACCGAGCCCCGTGAGACGGTGGAAAGCATCCGGGACATGCCCATGGAGCTGTCAGCGTCGATGTCCGAGATGCCCGAGACTGAGACCAGCGGGACGGGCGTTGATGCTGGCGAGCCGCCTCCACTAGGACGCGAGGAGAGCTCCACCTCGACATCCATTCCCACGGAAGCAGCATCTGCCAGGCCATGCAGGACAGCGGTGTAGCTAGCCGAGTGAGCGGAAGCAGTAGCAGCCCTTGACAGCAGATCAGTGGCAGGCAAGGCAGTGATGTCAGTCAAGAGAGATACCAGCTGCTGTTGCTCAGGCGGAGCCAATCGCGAGTGCAGAGCACGAAGACCAACAGAGAGTGTGGGACCAAAGATACCAAGAGCATGAATGAGAATAACAGCCAGAGCATGTCCTTGTTCCGTCACCGCACCATTCGAAGAGCCACCATCATCAGGAGAGACACGGCCACCACCACCACCAGCACCAGCACCAGCACCAGCACCAGCACCAGCACCAGCACCAGCACCACCAGTTGCAATTGAGGCATTGGCCACCGAAGCCAACCGCAGTTGAACCCAGCGGATAAAGTCTTCGGACAGCTTTGCGTCCAGAGGCATGCTGCGGCGGGCCGTGTGTGTGAGTGGGGTGTGGTGTGGTGTGGTGTGGCGGTTGGTGGTTGGTGGTTGGTGGGGGGGAACCGGTTGGTGGCCGGTGGTTTGGGGGGGCGGGGGGTACTGATCATATGCGAGAGAGAGGGAAGGGGGAAGCGGGAGGGAGTGGGGATGGGCAGGGAAGTAGAATCAGGAGAGGGTATGGGTGGGTGGGGAGGGTGGTATAAGTGGTGATCAAGTGGAGAGGGGCTGGGATCGGCAGGGCGTGTGCACTGATTGTGCCAGGGGGGGAGGGGGA